TAGAAAAAGGATGTTATGCTACTTAGCTCAACTGGGTCTGAAAAAAGTTACAACTTGAAGTTTGTTATAAGTCTTACAGTTTATTTTCTCTATACTCTTTCAAACTTGGCTGACATTTAGTACACACAGTGAACAGATTATAAGCTTCTACTACTTTGCAATGGCGTAATCCAACATAGAAATGATTGCAGTGAGGAAAATACTTGGTGGTGGTGTGTACTTCTGTGCTCTGTATTGAACGGCGATTTACCTATGGTCTTTCCTTACTGTGAAATGTGAACATATTTTATCAAACAAGTCTAGATAATAGATAAATCTAGATAATAAAGGTTGAAATACTGCTTTTTAATATTTGCTTACATTGTATTAACCCTCTCTTTAAGAGTGTGATGGAAAACTGTGAGAGAAGCTCTATGTCCTCAATGTCTTCAGTTTTCACTCCACCTACAAAATCTGCTGGCACACCAGTACAACCTGCAAATAATACAGCAAGGATTTCTACAATGAGACCTCTTGCAACAGCATATCAAGCTTCTCCTAGTGACTATCAGGTATTTTAAGGGAAACAGAAGCATGTGTTTCTTTATGCTATCTCCTCTTAAGTTGTATGACACTGCACACATGTTAAGTTTGATGTGACCTTATCCTTTATCTTCTGTCATTTCTTGAAAGATGTGGTTCAAGTACAAACTCAGTCTGTTTTGAAAATAATTTAAACATATATTGTGAAAATACAGTAGCACTTAGGGAAGAAAAAGAAAAAGCTGGTTAGTATAAAACTAATTAACTGTCTGTTGACTAATTCACTTTATTTTCTCTTTTTTCCTATTTCCCCTGCCTTCTAGGTCGTTTCTGGCAAACAAACTCCTAAGAAAGATGAAAGTATTGTATCTAAAGCAATGGAATATGTGTTTGGCTGGTAACATACAAGAGAAAGTACCACACTAAGTTGGTCAGGGTTTGAAATGTGCTGCTGGCATCTGTGGTTAGTTGTATAACTACTGGTGGCAGTATTTTAACTTACATCTCGCCTGTTATGCCTTCAGTTAATTCAGCAGACATGTAACTTGCACTTTAAATGATGGCAATGTACACGCGGTTTTAAAAACTGAGTAAGCGTAAATATAAGTGCTTTTTTTCCCATTTGTGCTCCGATTGCATGATTGTAGAAAGAATATCAGCACTGACTTATTTTCCTCTGTCATTACTTTCTGTGAATTACTTCCCAGTAAGATGGAAATGTTTAAAATGGAAGCTTTATTTACTGATGCCTTTAATTTTACAGTTTGTTTATTCTGGGAAGATGATGGGCTACTTGCAGGAAGAACACTATGCACAGCTGGCTCCCCGGGACAGGGGCTGTTCTTAGTATGTGTGGTTTTAATTTTTTATTGGGATTTATTGCTGTTTTATAATTATCTCAGGCGTCATGGTCTAAATGTCATAATCTCTGTTTTATTAATAAAGCTAAATAAATATAAGGTTTTCTTAGGTTGTTTTTTTTTTAAACAAGTGTGAATTCAGTTAGTTGCAGTACTCTTAACAGTTAAGTATAATCCTGCCTGTATGGGGTCTGTCTGAGATGGAGTCGGTATCCCCACAGCAGCTCTCCCAGTGCTGAGTGTCCCTCATCTTTGTTTTCCTTTTGTTTCTGTGCG